CCACGCTCGCGTGTGGCTTCGTATCTTATGCTGCACCGTGTCCCTCTACGCGTGGGGATGTGTTTCCAGCTCCTCTGGGGCAGTTGGCCTGGGGCTCGGGGGCCGGGCTGGGCCTCAGCCTGCCTAGGTTCGAAGCCCAGCCTCACCAGCCCCCAAGTGACCGTGAGTCGCTGACTCCCTCCAGGCCTTTGGAAGCACAGACAGCTTCCGGTTCTCCTCTGTCGCGCTCACTCCTATCCTCGCCACTCACGGGTGACCTCAGGTCCACGCCCTCCTACCTTCCCCACCTTCACTGCTGTCACTGTTCGGTGACTGTCACGGCCTTCCCGAAACCCTGGCCACTCCGTTCCTGACCTGCCTGGCTCCAGTGAGTCCCTCCTCCTTCCCGGGGGTGGGGGAGACAGCCCCCAGCACCACAGTCACACTGCGGCAAACGTGGCGTTCCACCACCCCTGGAAGGGTCACTGCAAATGGCCCTCTCCAGCCACCCTCTCTCCCTGTGCTCCCACCACTGATTCCAAAATTCCACAATTCTCCACCCTCCGAGCCACCGCCCTGTCACTGTGGTACCACCTTCCCAACCCCCTCGCCCCCTCTGCCTGGTCGTAATGGGCTGACAAAACCCCAACCCGGATTAAACCCAACGCCCCAGCGGGAGAAAATGATCCCGTGAAGTGGACATCACGTCTCCAGGGCGCCCTCGACATTCCCAGTTCCCCAGCAAGCAGGGGGGGAAGTCACTGGTCGTGGCTCTCTGCTGAGACCGTGACACCTAGTTCCCGGGGGGAAATTGTACATACCGCCCGCCTGTGTCCCCACACGGCCATTAAGATGCAAGGGACATCGTGCTCCAGCCCAATGCTGAGCCCTCCCCTGGTCGCTGGGTCTCAGACTTTTTGCCTTCTTAAGGATTTCACTCTCACGCTTCCCCTTTTCTCAAGACATGGTCAGTTTCTCCCCCTTCAGCACGTCACTGCTGTGGATGTATAAATATGCCTTGTGTCATCGGTCTTTTTTAAAGCTCCCTGATGCCATTCATGCCCCCTCCTACTCTTGCAGCAAAATTCTTTGTGCGTTGCCCCCGTGGGCAGCTCTGCTTCTCACCTCACCCCTGCCCCACACCCACACCCACTCCCACCGGGTTCCTGCCACCGCCACCCTGGGAAACCATGCCTGTCGGTGTCATGACTGATTTTTTTTTTTTAACTAAAAGTCATCTTTTAAATACCTCATTTCTTAAGCTGACAAAAACAGAGGCCTTAAAAATTATGTGGAAGCTGAAGACAAGGGATTCTGATTTGGAAACCTAGGTGTAAGGTCACCAGTATTTGGGTGGAGGGGAGGCTCCCGGAAGATCGGTAATTGTCACTTTCAGTGGGCGCAGCCTGGACCAACCATGATAGTTTTTATGGAGACGAATGTAATCTGTCAGTTTGCAATTTTGGGGGTACCACCCATTTGTGAACAAATTTAAAGCACTGTAATGTTGTTAAAATTTCAGGATAATCTCTTTCGGATCTCAAACCAGTGTCCACTTTGCTGTATGCTAGGATGTTTGGTAAGCCGATCATCCAATATTTCTTGAGCAACTACCACATGCTAGGCACTATGGTAGGCACTGGGTATGGAGAGGTAAACAAATGGGCATGATCTCTGTCACAGGGTATATAATCTAATTTAGGCAATAAAATAAGCACCAGATTAGGACATAACTGCAAATCGGGACATCTGGCATGATGGGGAAGGGGAGGAGAGACTCCTGAAATCTCAGTGGGCTTTTCCGAGGAAGACATTGGCTGAGGAATTGAATGTGAGGAGTAAGCCTGTGAAGTGTTAGGGAAAGGCATTCCTGGCAAACGGCATATCCCAAAGCTCTGGGGCAGAAAGAATCTGGTTCCTCCAAGAAGAGGAAAGAAAGCCAGTATGAGCCAGAGGAAAGTCCTGAGATGGCTGCCAGGGAAGACTGCGGGGGCAACATGCTCACGGGACTGAAAGCTACTCCAGATGCAACCACCAGTGACTCAAGTGTTCAGACATACTAGCCAATCCTCATCACTCTCTTCCTCCACTTCTTGGCAGCATTGGACATGACTGAAGGCTCCCCTGACCGGGTTTCCATTAAAGACGTCACCTGGGTCTCCTCCTCCTTCTGGGGACCACTCTTTCCACATCTCCTCCAATGGCTCCTCCACCAGCAGGGAGACAATGAGCTCTACATCCCATAGGACCCCACGGCCATGGTCTTCGCCCCTTCCATGTGCACTCTGTGACTCAGAGATCTTGACTTTACAGCCTAAGACAGCAAACCGTACCATATATATATTAAATTTTATCCTTCACACCTCTTCCTGCAAAAGGCGGTCAGGACACAGTGGTGCAAACTAAGTGGTGGAAGGAAATGTTATCAATGTGAGAACATTTTCGCAGCATCATTTGACATGCTGACAGTCGTGGGTGCCAGTTTATAGTAGCTACTTGGGCTCCTAAATATCCAGTTCTACTGGGACGCCTGGGTGGCTTAGTCGGTTAAGCGTTTGCCTTCAGCTCAGGTCATGATCTCAGGGTCCTGGGATTGAGTCCTGCATCAGGCTCTCTGCTCAGCGGGGAGTCTGCTTCTCCCTCTGCCTCTCTCTCAAATAAATGAAATCTTAAAAAAAAAAAAAAAAAGGAAAATAAATACCCAGTTCTGCTATCTGAAGAGTGGAAAAAATACAAATTAAAATAATCATGGTCACTCTGCAACAGGAATCAGGAATACAGAACGAAATAAAATCAGTTCCTAAGGTTTCCAGCCTGGTTGGGAGGATATGGGAACAGTGGCAGTTGGAAGGGCAGGAGGCACGAATTACAAACTTGTCTCCTTGCTTTAACATTGAAAACATCTATGGAGCCGGTCTGCACAGCGTCCCGCGGCCATGCCGCGGGGCGGACTGACCATCTCTACCGCAGCCACCACGGCGTCTGGGGGTGCTGTTTAGTCTGCACACCCCAGAGCGAGGGTGTCACTGATGAGTCGTAATCGCCGGTTAGCCAGCCTGCTTGGCCCATACAGACCCACTCGGCGTCTACCACCCGGTGGAACGTAGGCGTAAGGCTGAAATGTGGCCTTCTGGGATTGGGTTCTACACGCTGCAGTGCCCAGACTCAGGATAATTAGGCCCGCCGTTGTTTAAACAGATTTACAGAACTGTGAGCATGTTGCATGTAAAATTAATTACATCAGGGTCATTTGTAAGGAAAAAAATATATCCGTTTTCCATGCATCTAAGGGAGCAGCTTTTAATTAAAAAATGATAAACATCTAATTACTAAAAAATAGCTTCCATAGACTATAAAGGTTCTCAACTTCAGTGGGCATAAGATCAGGTGAGCTGGTTAAAAATGCAGGCCTGGGCCCTGTCTCCACATTCTGAGTGGTCTTGGGTGGTACCCATAAATTTGCATTATTAATCACCAGCCCAGGAAATTTTGATGTGATGGTGTGTGTTTCATGGAAGATCCTGTTCCAGTGAGCCCAGAAACTGAAAAACATTATCTATATATTAATAATTCATTTTCTTAGAACCCTTTAATAACTGAGAATTTCTAAACTGAATATTCCTAAAACTTCATGTACTATTTCCTGCTCTAAAATAATCCTTACTCTCATACTCTAAGGTTTCTGTGACCTTGACTTAGTATAATCCTAAGTACCATCTCCCTCTGCTCAGTGAGAACTAAAAATGGCATGTTGGACAAATGTATATTCTAATAAATGCAATCAGTCTGTAATAATTGTCACAAATGCAAGAGGTACCAAAGAAACTGATCTGCCCTGGAGGACTCATGCAACCCACGATTTCAATCATAGCATTCTCTAGAAGTATTTAGCACATTTGCTTGCTGGATTTCCTCGAGAATTACAAGTATTTAGATTAACTCAGACATCTATATCTATATCTATATCTATATCTATATCTATATCTATATCTATATCTAAGAGGCCTTCCCTAGTTATGGGGTCATAAACCCAAGGTTATACTATAATAGTTTTCCTCACATTTATATTCAAATGCTCTAAATAAAGAAGATAAAATGTTTCAGCATTTTGCTAAGTGTAAAATTTTTTATTTTGGAAAATTCAAGAACAAAAGGAAAAAAAAAAACAACCTACAAAGCCAGAGAATTAGCAAGACTATTATCACAATCCCATTAAGTCGGGCACCAAAAAAAAAAAAAAAAGGGCTATTTAAATTCCTAAAATATCAACACATTTTATCCTGGGAAAGAGCAGCACAGAATTTTAATAAGTGCTGATCTTTATCAGGTGTCTCCTATGTGCCAACCACAAAGCTCTATGACACCCATTTAGTCCTCAAACCCTGAGACAGGTAGTTGATTATCTCCACTCTATGAAGGTCAGGGCCCAGAACTCCACGAACAGCCTGTGTGTGCCAATGCCCAGCACCCAGGATCCCACATGTCCCACTTTCCTTGTCATTCACTCAATTCAAAACTCAAATTCAGCATCTGCTGCTAAATAAACCAGAAATGATAGTCTATAATGCTCAAATTATTTCTAAATATTAAAAGCAGAGTTTCTGACAGTGTGGAAATCATAGCCTACATCTAAAAATATAATGATAAAACATATTATCTGCACTACACTTACTAAAATGTAAAAAGGAATTCAGATATCAGTTCAAACTTTTCTACTTCGATATAATACAAATCCAGTTCCTAAATTATTTATCATATACATTAAAAACATTAATGAAGAAACTATCCTAAAATTAGGAATGATTCACAATTATTTAACTCGATGATAAGGGATAGCTAGTACATCAGTGGAACTAGCACTGATGCCTGGTTCGAGATGATGGCAGAGTCTGGGAGTCTCGGTTTCAATTCATCCGTAGGCTGGAACTGCAGAAAGCAAGCGTGCACATATCAAAAAATCTTTATAAATTTCATGCTGAAGTCACATAGGACAGATTACCGTCTAATAAAGAACTGGTGGCTCATTGTGAAATTGCAATTTATTCTAACAAGCTATAATGTCGCCTGAGAGATTACCTTTCTTGCTCACAAAAGCTAATTCAAGACATCTGCACAATGCCATGAAACTGACCAACCACCAAGAAGCATTTATGTAAATTACATATTAAACGTGTTCGAGGCCTGCTATGTGCAAGGCCGCATGCAGGCACAGCCGGGCTCCTGAAGATCATAGTTCTAATCGCCAAGCTCATACACACAGCAGTGGCTTCTTGTCAGTATTCCCTTCAAAACTGACACAGATCAGACCATCTGAGGTACCTGGAGTATCTAAAGCATGATGTACCTAAAATCCAAGTGCAACAGGTACTATTAAAGAAACAGACAAATGACACAGAATCCGGCAGTTACCCACTCATGTGGTTAAAGTATATTTTCCTGCCTAAAGATATTTAAAGCTTCAAAAAGTGATGCTTTCATTTATCGGTGAACTGATACTAGAATTCATATATAAAACGGAAACTCTTGGAAAGTCTCATGAGAATACTACTCAACTTTAGGAATGAGCACCAGGAAATCAACAGAAGCTCATGTGCACTAATGTTAAATTAGGCTTAGTTGATCCCACGTTTCTTGTGTTCATAAGGCATTGCACAGAAAGCCGCCATGTGTCTTTGACCGATTATAAACAGAGGAAAAAGACACATCTAAATGCTGCCAATTCAAAGGATTCAGAGCTCAAATCCAGTAACAAAATGAGATAATTATGTAGGTGTCAAGCAGTGTTTTTGCTGTTTAGATCATAAAGACAGTATCCATCTTCTGGCTTATTTAGCATCACAGTAAAGCAGTATAATTTTGAAAACATACTTTTGGAAAGCATTCTGGAGACTGAGAATCAACTAGAAAAGGGAAGATGGAAAAGGAGGAATAAATGTTATCTATGTTTTTAAAATATTAAAGCATCAAAACTTCCAGTGATGAATGACTATTTAAATGTAATTTCTTCTTGATATAGGAATGATTCCTGATACCTATCTTTTAACAGAAAAGACTGAAATTTTCCTCACATTCAATTTATGTTTTCTTTAAACATGAGTTCTGCACACAGTATTAAAAAGAAATCTTGGCAAAAAAAAAAGTCTATTATAGTGACTCTACTACTAAGAAGCTGAAGCAGAATAAGGAAAAATAAGATGTATGGTTTATTTCTTTGTTATACAAAGAAAATTAAAAGTGGTCCAAAACATCTTCGTCCATATCCCATGTCCTCCCTGACATACCGAGAACATAAGGGCAAGCTAGATCAGGAGTCCAGCTCAGGGTCAAGTTTTTCCACCTTGATGACTACGTCCGGAGCTGCAGCAGCAGCTCTGGCCTGCTGGTTCTCCGCCTCCGACTCCGACAGCACCTCTTCCTTTATCTTCACGGGCTTATTACTGGCTTCCTCCTCTTCATCCGAAGACTCATCAAGCTCCCATTCATCATCTATGTCCATTTCAAATACTCTTACATGACGGAGGTTTGAGCTTAACTGGAGAAGAAAAGGTCAAATAAAGACTCTCTAAATTAATGGCTGAACTAATGCATAATATATAAGAAATGAGAAGCTTGAAGAATGGTTTTGTATGAAAGTTATTTTCCCATCAATTTACAACAAAATCACTAAACTTAGCCTCACTTGCTGTAAAAGGATCTCTATATACAACAGTGACAATTTCATGATAATTAAAATCTAGGGGCGCCTAGTGGCTCAGTCGCAAGACCATGAGATACTTGATCTCAGGGTCACGAGTTCGAGCCCCATGTTGGGTGTCGAGACTACTTAAAAAATAAATAAATAAGTAACATCTAGAATTGTATTCCTCAGTCAGCTTTCTCAGAACGAGAAAGCTACATAGCTAAGACCACAACATGTTCGTAATCAATAAAGGCAATACACCACGAAATGTTTACACTTTCTGAAAGGACCTTATAGATCCAAAGTCACTTCCTCCTGTTACTCTCAGTCAGTAAACAATCTGTAAATACTTACCACACAGGACACTTTGCGAAAACCATTCCCAGCAACATACTGAGCCTTCATACTTTCCAGTAATCGCCAATGCTTCTCAAAATGCATGGTACGTGTGGGAATAGCACTGCACTGTTCATCTAGCCTGGAGAGGGGAAAAACCAACCCCAGAATGAAAAGGCGATCTTCTCCCTGGTTACAAGGGGTAGTATTAGGATCCACCATGGGTTCGATTTCTACCAATATTCCCATTTCCAAAATAATTCTATCAGCCACTGTTTAAAAAGTATTTTCCTATATCCTAGGAAAATACTGCAATTCCAAATAGCCAGAATGGCATCTTACTAAGGTTTCTGATTCCAGCTCAAGGAAAGCAAACAGACACATTTTTTAAATTAGAGAAGGGTTAGAGTTAGCTGTGTACCTCCATGTGGCTACTGAGGTCCTAATTCTGGAAGGAAACCACTAGGAGCAAATCTAAAATAACTAATTCTATCATTAACTGGGGTTAATGCTACCCTTAAAAATAGCACAGAAGCCCCATTCACCACTCCAAATAATTCCCCACCTTATCTGAGCAAATACTCTTGATTTATTTGTAAAGCAAAAGGGCAGAAGAGCTGTTGAAGCCAGCATTTTTTTTAAAGAAAAGTACGTCTGCTCAGCTGACTTTCCTATCCCCAGTAAGCACTGTCTAGCATACCTGAGGAGCTAGAATGTACGATACACATTCAAAAGCATTTAACTGTTAGGTCAGCAAGACTTTCTTACTGATGAGTTAGTTACCTTGTGGAGTAGGCCCCAGTGAACTGATACTCTGCAGCATCCTCGCCGTTATACACTGAAGACAACGGCAACTGGACCAGGAGTCTATCTCTCCCTTCGCGCCCCACAGTGTCTTTCAGAACTACTGTTACGGTCTCATCATCATAGAACTGTGCGTCTAAGCAGCTGTAGGCACTAGAAGTGAAGGACGTTCTGTTACATCACAGATGATCAGGACTACGGAGCAAGTACTGTGGTACCACGCAAAAAATTAATACAACAAAAACCAGGTGACATTCTATACTAGTACACTAAAAATACATCATTAGTTTGTGCTAAAATCAGTTACCGATTGTAGTGATTATTCACAGATAGAACGAGGCCCTAAAAAGAGGTCATCATGAAAAAAGAAAAATCTGGGAGGGTGAGGTTGGTCCAGTTCCAGAAAACTCCTGATACCAGTAGTCAGGCCTTAAGGCTGTGGAAATTCCACGAATGGCACCTTGTAGATATCTACTGCCTAAACAAACAGAGCTGACTAGACTGAGAAGTAAAAATAAGACTGACAGAGGAAAAGTCACAACAACTTCAAAGACATTCTCATAAAAATCTCCTTTTACGTAAGGAAAAGAGAGTGAGAAAAAAATTGGCCTGTGATGAGTGTCCACCCCACAGCCTCAGGGACAGCTCTGGTACTTTTACCCTTTTATATCCTAAGAACATCCCAGAGCAGGGAGAATGAGGCCACCTCATGTTAGTGTTGGTCATAACAAGAACTTCAGCCACATCCCCCTGGAGCCACCTTGCTTTCATAACAGACAGAGGAGCTCAGAAGTATCAATCACGGGAAACCAGGGCTCTATAAACCCCTGAAGGGCAGTAAGGTTCTATTCAATTGTGAAGTCAATCAAAGTATAAACTATCTGAGCAATCCTGTGTCCTCTGCTGCAAGTTACAAAGGCCTCGTGGGCATAACATCATCACTGTACCTGAGTCTAACCACATTTTTGTACAGATCATTTGTACATGTGAACAATCTCATCCAAACAAGATTCAAGACTTACCTTCTTCTCACTTTTTCGGTTGTAGCATATGTGAAGCTCCCAAACTTAACAGCAATTAGACCGTTACTTACAGATCTTGAAGAAAGAAGGGGAGAAAAAAGAGACTGTGGAACAACCTGGATAGCCAATGATCGAAATGCTTGAAAGAACATGATTGTCAGTGTTAGTATATTTACCTAAACAGCCAAGTCCCAGACCCAAAATACCATTATGCTCATTCTGCAACACTGACAGCTAATTTAAACACCTGGATAGACAAACCTCCATCAAAATTACAACTTGCTTTAAAATCTCAGTTACTCAAGTAGCTAGATACCTTATAAAATTAAGGACAATTGGGACAACTAAATTACTTCTCTTTGGCCCCATCTTGGGTCTCAAAACATTTCCTTCAAATTCACATTAAAAACCATTTGAGAGACTAAAAACGAATATATTGAGAAACACATATTCTGTATGTGATTTATTTTTTAGAACTTTTACTTCAGATTCTCAAAAGAAGTCTCTATAGGCAGGCCTCTTGTTTAATGAAAGGCATACCTAGCCGGAGGCAAAAATTCTTCCTATAAGGAACCCAAACCACTGTTTTGAACTGCTACAAGTTCATGAGATATAATCCTGAGTGTTCCACTGTTGTATTTTTCCTAACGCTAAAGAAATCCTGCAAGTCACAGCTACACCTGTACAAAATTAATAATCTAGAATCAGAAGGGATCATATAGCTTCCTGATTTGGCATTATCCTCTTAATGATGTGAAAACTAAGACTAAGAACAGTTCAGCAACAAGCCTAAAGTCATAAGGTAGCTTAACTGAACCCCAAAATGTAGGGGAGGGAAACTGTATGTTTATTATTAAAAATAATACAATCTCATTCTCAAACTCAAACTTTAGATTAATACTTACTGGGAAATATCAGTATGTCTCCTTAAGATGCACATTTTATGAAGTGAATCTTCTAAAATAGTAAAAAGAAGATAATGTAGATTTGAGGTTTTATTATTCCACCTAAGGAAAAAAAATTAATGTCAAAACATGATATTCAGCTGTCACAGCAGAGAACAAAACTGTTTCTCTCGCATGAGATGGGGAGAAACACACACTTACAGGAAGGGAAATTTGAATAATCTGCGTGTACAGTCCTGACTAAAACAAAAGAAAAAAAGGTAAGAAAAAATTAAATTGGCCGCTGAATTTTACCACCCAAAAAGTAAACAGAATTACCTTCTAGCATCCCTATATAATGGAATACAGATTGCTTGATTCATCGATTTTCCAATGACATCCTAAATAAAACAGATTAAAACAATACCCCATTAAAGCATTTACATACACACAGGTACTCTATAGAAAGTCCCTGACCTTCACTGCTCAAGTCTAGTAAAAAACCATCCAGATCACCAAGGTTTCACATGAGAAACTTCAATGACAGTCCTAACAGCAAGGGAAAGAGACAGAAGAAACTCTGAAAAGGACACGGGAAAGAGGCGCAGACTAAGAACTCCCAGCCCATCTCCTTGTCTCAAGGCAGGGACCTGCCCTCCTGCGGCAGTGAGCTAGACGCAAGACAGCTCTCTAGCCAAGACCGTTTACAAGAAGTTTGTTCTGGGAACAAATAAGATAATAAGGATGCCAACACTCTCAATAACCTTGTTATTTGTTTACCTTTTAGTTTATGTAAGAAACTAACAATAAGAGGAAATGTTAGGGTGAGCCCAACGAGCCTGCCATTTTTGTTAGCCAAAAGGTGAATAGCAGCATTTTCATACGGCTCACCTTAGTAACTGTTATCGTTTACATAAGTGAGCCCCATATTGTAGAGATTCTCACTCCTCCACAAAGGCAAGTATTTCTTTTTCAAACTTACTGCTGGTTTTTGCAAGCACAGATCAATAATGTTCTCCATCCGCCTTTTCACAAAATGCAATGATTTTCGAGGATAATATGGAAACAGCAAAGGACTTTCTGGTTTCAAACAAGAAAAGAAACAAAAACACAAAGCTATAGTAAACCAAATGAGTAGCAGAAAATAATCTCTTGTCCGAGGCAGCCCGCACCGCATCTCTGGCGGCAGCGATCTCCCTGGTCGCTTCATTATCCCTTCACACAACCTCACCACGCATGACTGTGGCCTCCCGCCTTTCTTTCCTCATCCCCTGCTGCTGGCCCACTAAAACCCACCACACTCACTGCAGGCCGAGTCCTAGCAGCTTGACACTCTCTTTTCTATTTTCCCCACCCAAATCCGACAGTATGCTTCCGCTGGGTATAAGAAGGAAGGGGTGATTTGGGAACCACAAGACACATAATAGAGTTCGTTCTCTACTCTGCCACAGTGGTGTGACAACAGCAGTCCAGTAATGTTTTGGAAGAGTGTAATACTAAAAACAGAAGCAAGAGACAAGACCCTAGTGCTGTGTAAATAAGCACTTTACTTTTCAAAAGGCTACTTTACCAGTAGAAAGTAATACATAATTCAGCGTTCACTGGTAGCGACTCCGCTAGATTCCTTTCTGTTACTTCTATTGCTCACAACAGCTGTAAAAGTAAGCACCGCGCTCTCCCAACTTACAGATTAAAAAAAATGAGGCTCACGAGGTTTGGGCAATTTGCCTGGTGTGAAAATGATGAAGAATCCACACCTGTGACTCCAACCCTCGGGCTCCCAAGCTCACCACCCTCTTCTCCTGAGCTCTGTAGGCTTCCCTCACTCGAGGCATCTCATATCCCAGCTATGTTGGCAAAATGGGTTTTAATCAGTTAACATTTTAAGCTCCCCACAGGTGACAGATGCTGTGGGAGCAGAGAAAGATATCTGGTCTTTGTCCCTGGTTCCTGGCACAGAGCTTCTAAAACCCTCAGAATTTCCTTAGTGATAAGGGTGACAGGAACATCTTTTGGTGTAAGGAGGCGACTCTGGGTGGATCCCTAGGTAGTTTCAGGATGAAGACTGATTGCCAGAAAGACTAAGCCCCAAGAGAAGCCTGGACTTTTCAGCCCTCATCCCCCAACTTTCAGGGTGGGGAGAGGAGCTGGAGTTGAGTCCAATCACCAGTAATCGATGATTTAATCCATCGCACCCCATAAAGAACCCCTAAACAGAGAGCTTCCGGCTGCTGGAAGACGCGGAAGCTCTGAGCCCCTCTCCCCATACCCTGCCCTATGCATCTCTTCCACTTGGCTGTTCCGACTTGTATCTTTATAATAAAGCAGTAAACCATTTTAGCAAATTACCAACCTGAAAGGCGGGGAGGGGTTGTGAGGACAGAAATGTGGGCCACCCAGGGACCTGATCCTTAGGACTGAAGTCAGAAGCAGAGGCAGTCTTGTGGGACTGAGCCATGGAAGCTGTGGAGTCTGGGTAGTTAGCATCAGAACGCGATTGCAGGACACCCAATTGGTGTCAGAATTGGTCTGAGGAGGAAAAACCTCCCATTTTAGTGTCAGAAGTGTTCTCAGTAACAACAGCTCACATGCTAACATCCTGATTGCTCAGGAGCCATGAGCCAGGCACCAAGTGCTCTATCTACATTTACTGAATCTTCACAACAGCATTTTGAGGGAGGCACTACTATTGTCCTCGTGTTACTGAGGAGAAAACTGGGGCACAGAGAGGTTAGACGGTCTGCTCTCAGCCACACTACGAGGAAGTCGTAGAGCAGGTTCCAACCCCCACGGCCCAGAGCACCAACTCTCACCCATCGTACAACACCGACGCTCCCTCATGTACCCTGAGAAAGTACATGTAGCAGATAGTTAGCACGTGATTTTTGCAAAGTGCTAGAAAGAAGTTTCATGAAAGTTTTCTTAACGGTTCCATAATGATGGGGCGTCTGGGTGGCACAGTCGGTGGGGCGTCTGAGCCCTGGTTTCGGCTCAGGTCGTGATCTCAGGGTTGTGGGACTGAACTCTGCGTTGGGCTCCATGCTCAGCCCAGAATCTGCTCGGGATTCTCCTTCCCTCTCCCTCTGTCCCTCCCCACCACACTCTCTCTAATAAATAAATAAATCTTAAAAAAAAAAAACAAAACAGAAACAGTTCCATAATGAGAGTCTGTATTTCTTCACACTAGACTAAGAAACTGGAGAATTAATGAGTTTGTTCCAATTCACATACTAACAAAACCTTGAGCATTTAAGTGAGGGAGTTAATAATACGAAGTGTTATCTTGGTTAAATATGAGGCCCCTAGCTAAGATTAGGCCTTCCTGTTCAGGCATAGAAGATGTGAGGAGAAAAGGGGTAGGGCCTATTTTTAGCCCATCCACGTTCCCAGGACCAGTATTAGCCCACTCCCAGACAGGGTTCAGGTGCCACCACTCCTGGCACACTGCCATGAGCCTTCCTCAGGCTGGGGATGCATCCTGATTAAACAGCAATGGCTTTATTCTCCCTCCATTCAATAACTGACATTAATAGATCTCAAGCAATACAAAATGTCCTGCTCTGAAAAAGAATTTGGACTTCTCACATGAAAACAAAAGAGCAGCAAGCCAAGTTCTAAGCTTCAGAGAATTCTCTCCTTCCCCCATCCATCCTCATTCATTCATTAATTTATTCAGATAAACAGCAACCAGACAGAGTGGCAGAGGTTACCACTGAGTCGAGTTAAAAACTCAGGCTTTGAGGTCAGCAGCACCCTAGTTCCACCAGGTACCAGCTTGTGTGGTCTTGGGCCTTCTCTGACCTTCAGCCTCCTTGTTAGGAAATGGGGATAACAGGTGCCTACCCCCTAGGCTCCTGGGGGCATTACGGGAGGAACTACATGCACAGGGCTATTACCCTAGGGACACAAGAAACTGACAGGCTGTGATCAGATTACTCTGTGAGAAAGCAAAGAAATACAGCTTCAAAAATATCTGCATCTAAAATAGTGGAGTTCTGATATATTTAGTGGTTGCTCTTTTGTGTTGCATCCCGAGTAATGCTGGATCATTTTCCTATACCAACATTTCAAGATCCTAGAGAATGAAAGGCACAAATACACACAAACCTACAATCTCAGGAGAACAGTTAAGCATCACTATGCTTTTAGGAGTTAACAGACTGGAATCAGCCAGACTTCTCTCACTAGCAGGTTCTATAATTTTCTTCCCAATATCCTTTTTTTTTTATAGGGTACAAAACAGACCATATAAGAATACCTGAGAATAAGCAATCTTACCCCATCGCAGTTAATTTCAGAATGTTTTCTATCACGGTAATGTCATATACTATTTGTTATTTTGCTATTTCTCTAATCAAAAACAATAGGCACAAATGATCTAAAGACCTGAAATAAATATTCAGTAATTGTCCAGCAACATCATAGTTAATATAGTGGTCTCAAAGCAAGTATAAACATGGCCAAAATCCACTAAGTTCATTAAATACCTTTAAGGTGGTTGCTATTTTGAAGAAAATCATACCACTGGTTTCCTTCTGTGTTAGGCGGTGACACGAGATCATCATCTTCATCTTTCAAGTACTAGAATTAACACCAAATCAAAATTTTAAGTGTTGTAAACAAAGAAGAAGGCTTCACAGACTTTATAGTTAACATTATTCTATTTAAAAAGTGATTCTGTTTGGGCGCCTGGGTGGCTCAGTTGGTTAAGCGACTGCCTTCGGCTCAGGTCATGATCCTGGAGTCCCTGGATCGAGTCCCGCATCGGGCTCCCTGCTC